TTGTTTTGTTAATTACAGGAATATGTCAAGCCATACATCAAAAGCAAAGTGTATGCCCTGTGAACTATGTAGTAAAGAATGGCAGATGCCATTAACTTGTGTCACTTCCAACTTATTTCACAGCAAATTGGGCTTCTCTAGGAAAAAGTGGAGGGGTACCAAGATTTTTAACTGCACCTGTAAGTTTATTGTGACAAAGTGGTGACTCTGAGAAGGCAACATTTCTTAACTGCCTTCTTTCAAAAAGCTGGTTACTGTTGTCAGTAAGGGAATAAGAAAATATAGGATAAACGAGAGTGTAGGAAAGAATTGAAATGAATTTAAGTCTCTAGAGTTAGATGGATTACAATCTAGAGTCTGAATTAGCACAGGTAACTGCAGAACCATCCTAGATAACGTTTCAGAAGACGTGGAGAATTGATGGGTTCCCAGAACACTGGAGGGGATCAAATGTCACTCTTTTCCACAAAGGGAAATGAGGAAGGTATGGGAAGCTGTAGATCTGTTAGACATCCCTATTGGATAAGGTCCTCAGATTACAGTATTAAGCAGCATTTTTATGAGCACTTGAATAGAAATGCTACAGTTAACAGAAGCCAGCATGGGTTTGTCAAAGACAAATCATGCCAGACTAACTTTGCATCATTCTTTGTTATCTGTTTAGCAGCTCAGAGGAATAGTGTAGATCAGTGTTTCTCAACCTCAGCAATTGCAAAATGTGTGAACTTCAATTTCCAGAATTTACCAGCCAGTGTTGAGAAACACTGGTGTAGACATAGCATACAGCAAAGGCATAGGATACCTAATATAGAACTAGTACATATGAAAAAATATAGATGTGCATGTCAATTGTAAGTTATACATGAGCTAGCAATGTGTAACAAGTAATGTGATTTATTTGCACATTCAAGTAGTTTCTGATTTCAGATGTGACAGCCAGTGATCACATTCTCCAGCCTAATTATTTAACTAAAATTTCTTCTGATAAATGTGTATTTTCCACCAAAAAGATTAATAACCCAAATTAGTAAGTGTTGGGGTTGTTTAAAGATACCCTCTTTACTCTTTTATCAAAGTGAAACAGCAAGTGGACTCAAATATTCTAGATGAATTTACCTTCAACCCAGATCACCTTTTCCCTGAACATTTGTCAGTTCTGAATTAAAATCTAAGGCAGAAATTAGTAAGTTCTAGCTCATTTTTTAACAATCAGAAAAATATGAGTGAATGGAGTTCATAATTGTAAGGTTTCGTTATTGTAACTGTGTATTATGTCCCCAACTAAGCTATTTGACGATTTATTTTTGCATTCATTCATTTATTTATCATATTTAAGAACTACTCATCGCCCTCAAAGAGAATCAAGGTGGTGTACAATAAAAAATATAAATAAAAGAAACTATGTGTAAAATTTAAAAGAATTGATATTCTTCCACTTTCTTTTAATGGTGAACTCAGATGCTGTTGCCAATCCACTACAACCCAACGTTCTCTGTGTTGTCTTCCTATCTTTTGCAGGTCTAAGTAGTAACATTTTAAATCACTTAGAAAATGACAATAAAAATATCACTGTTTTTTTCTATGAATAAAACACCACAACATCTTTCAAGATAAATTTATTTTTTATTTTAAAGAAAGCCTCTTCTAGTAGCTGTAGCCACTAATTGTTTCCTGTTCATTAGTCAATTCTTGTTCCTATCAGGAATACCATTTTCTTTTAATCATTTTCTCTTTAAATTTTTAATTTAAAAATAATATGATTTATGATATTTTTTTCAAGGAAACCAAAACCAATAGCTTAAAGCTCATCCTGTTGGGAAAGGCAATTAAGGGATATTTAAGATGTGATGAACAGATCACAATTAGAGGCTGACGCTACACCTGGGAAGCTTCTAATTAAAGTTAGAGATGATTCTTTGATAATCAGAATCTAATTGGAAGTATCACATAAGGGTTTTTGCTAGTCAATCTTCTATAACTGTCATAAGGAACAATATTTAATTCTACTTCTAGCTAACTGCAGAGAACCAGTTCTTTATTATTACTAAAGAGCCCTGGGTCATAGCCACTTTAAATAAGAAAACCTATTTAGAGATGACTGTGCCCCCCCAACCCTTACTGGGGCTACAGTTGGACAATTATTGTATAATTTGTAGTGTATTGCACAGTAGGTGATCTGCTCTACTCCGGCAGGATGCTGGTTGCTTCAAAGACACCTCTCTAACCTCAGTCAAGGCTTGAAAATTCCCTGTCCTAATGACAAAATGCATTTGCCTGAAGTGCAATAAAACCTCAGTTTGATGCTAACCCAAGACTTTTAGCTACTCAAGACAAATGTTAAGATGTATGAATTCGTTTAGCAGATGAATACAACTTTAACACTGGTAACTGAATAGCACCTGAGGGTAGCAAGCTAGCATAGGAATGGAGAACAAGCCAAGTTGTATAAATGTTTTTCAACAAAGGGAATGGCACAGGAACAGCTGTTCCTCCTACCAGTATCTATCATCTGAGGTCTCACATTGTCTCTGACAGGGACAGCCCTGATTGTGTTTTTCAAAGATGATGACACAATTCCACCCATTCCTCATAATTATATCATCAGCATACTCAACATTTCTTTACCACGGACCCTGCCAACTTAGTTTTCCATGACTTATTTGCTTTCTCTACTGCATTTTTCAGTTGCTAACCAACCCACTACTTGTTCAGTGTTTGCCAAGCAAGCAGAACTCTGCCAAATGTGAACTCTTCTTAATGCTGAAAGACACATGTTAATGAACTGTCTCCACTTTGTAGCCAACATGTTTTTCAATTCCTTTAGCATGCTAAATAACATTCTAGAAAGGAAACATTCATGGAAGATTAAAACCAGTCCAGGCAAAACATTTTGGTCTATGATGTCCTGTTTCTTAAACACTGGTTATCATTAATTATCTGAATGTTTTCAAGTTGTTGTGGTTAATACACAACTATAGAATTGGTTACAGTCATGATGAAAATTCACTTAAAAGTGAGAAATGACTTATCTGTAATGACTACAAAGACAACTACCATACGGAACCTCTTAGAAGAAGAAAACACGAGTTTGGTAAATACTGATCTAGTTCGGGTGGCAACCTATGTCATGCAAAATCTGTTGTCTGCTTTGACAAAATCTTCGACAGTTCAACTATTGAACCAATATTTCAAACACATGGCATCACTTACTGCAGTAAACACTGTGATGCTAAAAATGGATATGGAAGCCAACAAAAATTGCTACTGTGTAGTTCAGTTATAACAGCACCATGTGGCTATGAGGCAGAAGCTGCATGTGAATGACTTAGGTGTGTGACTACACATCTATGGTATGAGATTTCTCACCAAAAAAAGCACAGTGATCAGATGGTTAGCCTAACAAGGGTGCAAAATCATGCCATGTAAATGGTTGCAACCAATTTTAAAAAAAAGTGAAGTTGATAATTGCACTCACTATCATTGTACAACACTGATAAGAAAGCCTTCCTTCCTCTGTCAGAAAAAACAACAGTGAGAATGAAGGGGGATAGATAGATAGATAGATAGATAGATAGATAGATAGATAGATAGATAGATAGATAGATAGATAGATAGATAGATAGAAACAAAGAGTTAACAAAAATAATATTTTGTGGCCATCAGCCAATTAATGAAAAATAAACTATAAGATTAAAATATAGCATAAATGTTCATTATAAGGCTAAAATTAATCCAAGAAAAAGATGTTAACTTTGTTGATGCTGGCTACCATGTCATGCCAGCACAGATATTGAAACTGAATCTGAGCAAAGTGCCAATCCAGAGAAAAACTGAACACAGTTGACAAAGAAATATATTCTGAAAAGGCGGGTGGGGAAAGAAAGCATGTGAACTATGGAAGAAAGAAAATCAGAAAGGGGAAGCAAAGAAACCTCAGAAGCAGAAAAAACAGAGAAAAGTGCATGATCAGACATAGCAAAAGCAGGATTTCTAAAATATGTAACAAGGGTGCCTGAGAAACATGATTCCATTCACCAGATACTGCAATTTCATTTATAAGTCTCTTTAAAACAGCCTTATACCTCACAACACCTTTGGTCTCTTGCTTTTATAGCAATCTCCCTGAGAATGTGTGCCCTTCCTTCCCTCTCTTCTCTAACGGGCTTTTATTGCTTAGATTTAATACAAATCTAGCCCGAAGGACCTCAGGAGAATGAACCTGTCACACTCCCATACAAGAAAAAGTCCTGTGGCTACCTCCCTCTTCGGTTCCAGATCCATGCAAATCTGCAGGGGCCAAGGTCATATCAGTTTTGCTTCTGTGCCCCTTTAAGGGAATAGAAAGTTCAGGAAAGCAACAGAATAATGCATGACCCTCTTTCCTGCTGTACAAAGAATAGAAGCAAAGCTTTTCCGGGACAAAAAGCTCTATGCACAAACAAAGATTTCACCTGAGCTTCTTCTCAAACCTGACAGCTGAAGGAACAGCACAAATCAGGTTTCCCTCCAAGTCTAATTCCAGTTATAGGATTAAAAATTTGATGATGAAAGTTAATTATTTATGGGGATAAACTGGGGAATAAATAAACAAAATGGCTTTATCCTGTCTTGCTCTTATAATGCCAGGCAAATAGAATGTCAATCTGAAATTCTGTTTCAGCCATATGTGGTCATCATAGATACTTCAAATTAGGGAGTTGTGCCCTAGGTTTAGACAGAACACAAAATTACCCATACAGCATTACAGACATTTTGGCAGAGGCTGCCCATGATTCCACTGAGAATAAGAAGACAACAAACTCTCTGATAAATAGGTGATCAATGTTCTTTACAAGGGGCTATCAACTATTGTGGTCATTTGCTACCCACAATCCTGCCTCTGATTGCAACTCTTGAGACAAGGGGGAGTGCCCAGCTCTTAATTTTCTACAACCCATTTGCAGATTTGAAAACCTATCAGTACCTACTAGACTTCTTTAGCAGCAATCATGCCATTACTAATATTTCATGTCTCCTCAGGAGAGCATTCCAGAGCAGTAAAACTGCCCTCCTCCTCCAATACAGTGGAATAATTTTTCATATTGGGTTGTAGAACTTCAGATTCATTCTCTTCCTGCTCATCTGCTTTCTGCTGTCGAAGAGCCTGGAGGCGTTCCCCCCTAGACTCCATGAATTCCTGTGCTCCCTCACCCACTACAAAGACAGTGTCAGCCACACTGGGTGGCGCTTCAACGGGATTGTGGTCATAGGAGAAAAGTCGTAGCCTCTGCAGGTGACTCAAGTCAGGGAATTCAGTAAGCTTGTTACGGTCAACATCAAGAATGTGAAGCTGACTCATGCGAAGCAACGGTTTTGGAAACTCCTCAAAACGGTTTCCATACAACCAAAGTCCTCGAAGGCCCTTCATGCGCGGCAGGCCATTCGGTAAGGTTTTGAGACGGTTGTCTCCCATTTGCAGGGATTGCAGTTCGGGCATCTGGAGCAGAACCTGGGGAAAGTGGTACAAATAATTGCTCTCAATCCACAAGCAACGGAGCGTCTTGAGCTGAGAGAATTCTGCAGGGAGGCCAAAGAGGCGGTTGCTGCCCAGATAAAGCCGAGTCAAGTGGGGAAGGCGGCACAAGGTTTCAGGCACTTCCTCCAGCTTGTTAAAGTCCAGGGCCAGGATGCGCAGCTCTTGTAGGCCCCCAATCTCTTCGGGCAGCTCCGTTATCCCCGTGCCGCTGACGTAGAGCTTCTGCAGGGTGCTCAGGGCGCACACTGGTGTCGGCAGCTTCCTCAGGTGGCGCCCAGAGAGCTCTAGCATCTGATCCCCTCCACTCAGCTGTTCTTCAGCCACTGACGGCAGCCGCTCCTCCCTGCCTGAGGAACCACCACTGCCCATCCTCAGAGACAAGGGAAGGTGTGAGCAGGATGAACGCCACCACCTCTGCCTGGAGTACTCCGAGACATGGCAACCAGCTAAGCTCCCCCAGTCCTTGAGACTGGGCTCCTCCTGGAAGGACAATCCGGTGGAAGACGAACCCTGCCAGGCCGGCTCCTCTTTCAAATCCCTTTCCTGGACCGGAAGACTGGAGTCCTCCAATCAGCATTCCAGCATGTGGCTCCTGGACTCGCCATCTGTGACCCCTGGGCAGGAGGGGCGCGGCGGGCGTCCCCGGGCATCGGACGGGTGAGCCTCCGAGATTAAGCTCCAAGAGCCGGGCTGCCTGCCCGCCTCCCAGGACCAGCCCATCCTTTAACCTCGAAGGCTGGGTTCCCGCGCCAGCTGCCGTCCATTACCAGGTCCCTCCAGAAGGAACCGCCTCGAGCTCTCCAGAGGACCGGTTCCGGAGACGGCGGCCGGCCGGCGGGGCCCGCGGGTCCTCTCCTCTGCCTCCCGGCTTCTCGCTCCCGGGTCCCCGCTAGGTCTGAGCAAGACTCCCACACATGAGCCGGGCGCCTAGCGACTCGGCGTTTCCATGGAAACCCCCCACGCGGGACCGTCCACCTATGGCGGAGCCGAGCGGGTCGGACGGGGCGGGACTAGGGAATTCGTTCTTCCCTCTCTTTCTGCGACGCGCTTCCTACTCCCGGCCTGGCACGCCCCCTCCGGGGGACAGGACGGGTTTGGAGCCCGCCTAGGCGAAAAGCTGAAAGACGCGCCAAAAGCGCAACCTCCGCCTCCACACACACACACACCCCGGGCTTCATTTCCCGGGCTCGGAGAAGAAGATGAAGTGATCCGGGCTCTGCTTTGCTCGTCGGTGTGCAGAACCGCGATGGACTCCGCCGCTTCGTCCGAACGCGGAGACCCGCCCAGCCTCCTGCCGCCGCCAGCAGCTTCGCAAGTCCACTTCTGCATCCGAATAGGCAGCCCAGCCGTGTGGGGATCCCGTCCTTTTAATCTGCTGCGAGAAGGGCAGCATCTTCATAAGCAAAGTCCCTCGGAAGACAGGGACAAGAGACACCACTCTACTTTCCAAATTTCGACGTTCATCCTTCCGCTTTATAAAGCGGAAAATGTTTCCAATAGGATAGGAGACTGCAGGATGCAAGAACTGTTGCTTTCCAGAGGCTGGATTTCAGCTTCTATGAGCTCCATCAATTGGAGATTTCTTTTAACAAATTATTATTAAAAGAATCAACAAAACATGTGATATTTTTTAAATACAGAACAATGTCCCACACTGAAACTCGGCTGTTTCTATTTCATCAAAGTTGTTGAGAACTGACATCCAATATCTGAAGAGTCAAAGATTTCTTTGCTGCTACTTGACAATAGTCTTGTTGAGAAAAAAAAGCCAAATATTTTGTCAACTGGAAACACCATTTTAACAATGAATAACCTTATATAGTTTAGGAAGTTGGAGTCATGCCCTCAAATCTTTTCAAAATGATGTGTCAGAGAAGCTTTCTGTCTACATTTCTAGCAGATCAGTTAGCTGCAAAGTTGAAACCTGCTGAATGTTTCATTTTGTAGTGACCGTACAGAAATAAATCTCTGCAGAGCAGATCCATCCTTCCAGGTATCTCTGCAAGGGGAAGTTCAAAAATCAAGATCGGGCCACAAATATGCTATCGACGTGCTACCCGTTATGGCCACCATCTTGACTTTTTTTGAAATGAATGCCAGCATTGATGGCACATGCACATTCAGCAACTAAAACAAATACTGGAGATCCTTAATTAGCTCCCACAGATATGAGCGATTCACGTTAACTTTAGTATCATAGATTCTACTCTGAGAAGTCTGTACCCAGAGAGATACTTATCTCAATCAGTTCACCCATCCCTAGGAGCTCTCAGTCTATCCCGACCAGTATGTTATTTTGATACCAATTCCCACTGGTATTATAGCTATTTTGGTACACAGACACACACACATCATTGTAACATATTGTGACACCCGCTCTGCATTTATTTCACTCCAGATGGTTCAGAAAAGGTGATGTGGATTCTTTTTCCACAATTATATGCCTGCATCTCTCTGTTGAGTCAATTGCCAGTTAATAATATAGAGCTGATCCACATGTCTATGTTCCTTTTTAGGCTCTAACATTGCCATCAGCAATATAATCACACATTAAATATCCATTCTGTAGTTAACCATAGCATCATATAGCTTTTATACAAGCTTTTACCAAAATGGAAAACATGCCAGCCTATCCACTCACAGCATGATAGACAAAAACACAATTTGGGACAATAACCCCCTACTCATTTAATGACAGCATGGACTGCTTATCTTCAGAAAATACAGCTAATCCATCTGGGAAAATTCAAACACAGATATTCAGTGGGAGGGAAAAAGCAGAGAGAGTGTGTCTCAGACAGAACAGCATAGCAAAGAGTACAGTTTTGCAAGGTGTATGAAAAGATGATAATGTCAACATGGTAAAGGTGTGGCCGTGAATTAACTGACACATGATAAGAAGTGAGTAGCTACGTTCCCCTTTTGTTGCAATAATGATACAGCAGGTGGAATTTATTTTAGTTTCATTAAGAAAGGGGCAGCATTAGATAATAAACAATATAAACTTATCACAAAGCCTTAAAATTGTTAAAGAAAAATTCAAAACAAAAAAAGTCGTAAGAATGGTTCCTGAACTTTAAAAAAATGAAAATATTAAAAACCACATTTTGAGACTACAAAATCAGCTGAGGCATAACCTCAATGGAGACTGGATTGTTTTAAATAGAAATGCACAGTGCTTTCTTTCCTAATTTTAGAAGCCCTCATACAACCTAACCTAGCTCTTAGATATATCCAGATGCAAAAAGACCATTTCTAAAACAAGAGTATGGAATTGACTAGGTAAAGGGTCCAACCATCACAAGCCATTTCTCCTTTCTTCAGTTGGAGTAACATGTTAACTTAATCCAGGGTCTAGTGAAAAATTGATTAGATGCCAGATGACCCCACACTGAACATATAGCTGCTCTATGTTTTCCAGTAAGGCAGCAGCAGTATTACTAGCTCATAAAACATTCACCAGAGTGAAAACTTATCCACTGGGAGAAATGTGAGAAATGGAAATAAAAAAAGAGAGTACAATGTGGCAGCTATTATTACTGGACAGAAAACTGAGAACAAAAGGAAAATTATGTGTGCAGTACTCCTAACTGGTAAAGTAAACCACAGTGTCTTGCTGAAAAGGAATAATGCAGCACACAAGATAATTAGTTTCAAGTCTGCAAGAGGTAATTTTTTCCTAAGAGTCACACCAAAAAACAGAATTCTAATTCCAGATGTGCTTTCTGCAACTTCTGAATGTTTACTACATCAAATCTGAAATCAACAAAGTCTTGCTAACTCTATAGGCAAGTTAGTCGGTTTGTGTATCACAAAGAGGAATAGAAAAGCTTTGCAGCATTATGTTTCATCATACTTGGTAGGGAGACAAGAGATCCTTCTACCTCTGTATGCTGTACTTGCATATGATTGAGATCAGGAAGTTATAGTATTTAAAATCTGCTAACTTAAAGAATATGTAAAAAAAAAAAAAAAACAACCAGGACTAATTTCTCCTGTGGAACTGAAATTTCCATCATGTTCAGATCAGACCAGTTTTATCTGAAAAATTGTAGAAGTTGTAGCAGTCATGTGCTCCATGCAGTCAAGTGATTGTGATTTCTGATGCTTGCTGCCAGCTTCCCACAAGGAAACTCAGTGGGAAAGCCAGCAGGAAGTTGGAAGTAATTCTCACTTTCACTGCTTTTTTGCCAACCCATGGTCATTCTGGTCATTTGTTTAGATTAGTAAATACTGATGTATTATTGAAGTTTATTTGCCACTACAATTATTTTTTCTACTTATGAAAAATAATTGTATATTCTTTTTAAATGATCACGGGACCTTCCAGCATTGGGGTAAAATAAAAATATGGTTGGCTTAGCATTTAATGTTCATTTTGGTCACATCGGACTGCATTATCTTTCTTTCAAACAATGGCCCAATGGGTCACAGGTTGTATACTATACTGTAAATAAAATAGTGTTAGGTTCAACTTGTAAAGGCACATTATACTGGCTCTAATATTCCATCAGTTTTCACTTTTAGCAGAGTGGAACTACCATTTCACTACAGATGAGAAATGAAGGCCACCAGGGTGGAAGAAGAGTGATAGGAGAAGTCTCCCAAAAGAGAATTTGGGTGTCTGCGGTCCATTTCTTTCTCGTTTTGTGACACTTACATATGACCAGGTCACAAGCATTCACCTGCTCAATGGCTAGGCTTGTGACTCATGCTGTACTAAAGACCAAGATTTATAAATAATAAAGTCTGAACCAAATGGAACACATAGTGGGTAAGAATAATGTAGGAAGTACGTCACTTTTATCTTAGATAGTGATCTTCCCTAACAGATTTTAGAAAAGATTGGGCAAAAGTAGTGATGGGCTGTTTGGAAGTGGAAGAGAAAATGTTCCCAAACCAGAGCATCCAGATATTTAAACGCATACTGCAAGTGGCATATGCATACTAAATGTTCTTCTTTGTGATTGCATCCACATGCATTTCTCCTTGAGTCCTTGAGCTAGCAAAAATATATGCTGGCATAATTTGTGCAGCCCCAACTGCCAAACCCTAGTGTGCCTCCATCACAGGATCAAGGACTGCTCTTAAAAGTTTTTTTTTAAAAAAGATTGATAGATTTCCCTGGCTTCGTCTCCTCTTCTACCAAGCTTAACTTGCCATCATGAAAAGCAGTCATCAATTACCTCTTAATATGTATTGAGACAAGTGTGAATAGGGATCTAGGAATGGAGGGTTTAGTTAGCTTTAAAGTTACTGGGTTGGTGGCTCACAGATATAGAAGTGCTCCATGCCTGTGATTTGCCAGTTTGTTTGTTTTTTAACACAGGTGACTTCTTTTCAAAATAGCCCAACTGATAGGTCAAAGAAGGACTGCAAGTATTGGAGGTGCTACCTTCCAGTACATAAAGCATTCCTCTGCTGAATCTTTGACCTGTCAGTTGGGCTTTTGAGGGGAAGATACTGTGGATCTAGCATTCTTTAGTGGCGCAGTGGTTAGAATGCCATACTGCAGGCTACTTCTGCTGACTGCCAGCTGCCAGCAGTTTGGCAGTTCGATTCTCAGCGGCTCAAGGTTAACTCAGCCTTCTATCCTCCCAAGGTCGCTAAAATGAGAACCTAGATGGTTGGGGGCAATATGCTGACTCTGGAAACCGCTTAGAGAGGGCTGTAAAGCACTGTGAAGCAGTAGATAGTCTAGACTCTAAGTGCTGTTGCTTTAGGGTACTTCTGCAGAAACTCTTGTGTCCTGGGTTCCAAATCAAAGTACCAATGGAGGGCCATGCCCAGCAACCAGAGGGAATGGGCCATGTTCACAGCAACCTAAAGTGGCCAAGTGGACTGGACAAATCCCAGCCCAGCTGTACCATCAACCACATAACTGAGAAAGCATGAAAATATATAACCACAACAAAAGTTGTCCCAGAAGATGGAAAGTATGACTTCAAAACTGGAAGAGCTAAATATACATTTAAGCTTTTTCTACTGTGAATTAAGGATGAAATGAAAGCAGTGTCATGAGGACAGGCCCTTACTTGTTGGTATCTTTACTCTGTGGATAGAGAGACATAAAGAGCTTTCAGTTAGTCAGATGCTCACATTATGTCACAAAGTTTGTACAGCTACAGAGCTATAGAAACTCTATAAAAATATAACTACCCCAAAGATTTTTAAACCCCTGTTTCAATGTGCTAATCTAGGACAGGAGACATAGCTAGAATATGTCTTAATTTCTTTAAAACAATGCATAAAATAAGATAGATTTAATATGACAATGCAATTAGTGACGCTCCTTCCTTAGCATGTGGAGTGGTTCCTTGAAGTCTAAAGACATCACTGTGCTTTTCACTTCTGAACAGAGGCTGGAAAGAGGCAAACATATTAAATTAGGATACGTTTTTATGATGAAAGGAAACATAAGGATGACAACAATATGAAAATAGTCTCCACTGATGATTTGTGAGATTCCCTCCCCTGCAGCATTGACCTGTAGCAAGTTCCTAGAACATTTCTTGAAAAGGGAAAATGACTTGATTGTTCTATGTCATTTTGCTGTGTGTATGAGAGAGAAATATCAAATATCTGCATTTTTTCTCTGAAACTGGGAAATCTTGAGTAGACATAGGAGGCACTAAACTGAGCTTTGGTTTCTCAACAGTAGTTGAATTAAACTCATACAATATACTACCATAATCTAACATCTCTTAGCCTGATAATATCATATTTGGCCCTGCTTTTGTAGTGCCTTAAAATGCAATGAACCAAATTACTTACTTAATTGGGGACAGTTGTCTGATGAAGAGCAGCAAAGCGACGATCATGGGGAGAATCGCGATAGAATGGGTCAACTGTTGTGATTGTCCTATAATGGCAGAGGGAAAATATCGGAAAAAAAATAAATAAAAGAGGGTAGAAGGCACCTGAGGAAAGGAGAAGAAATGGCACCGGGCACCAAAAATGGCTTAATGGAGCAAAAGAAAAAGAAACAGCCCTGCCACTATGATGTCACCTGCCGACATGGGGATGAACAGTTCTCAAGGTTTCTGTGGCATTAGGATCGCTTCCTAAATCACTTCCGTGGTTGTTGGTGGCAAAGCCACCTGCTTGTTGAGGCTGGATCCCCCCTCTGGTCCAGCCTTCCCTGTCCACTCCCTTTGAAATGGTTTCATAAAACCTAATAAAGAGAAAGATGATTAGTGCATGACTGATTCAGCTACTGCAACTTGTGTTCTCACAAATATAAATCAGAGGTATGTCTTTATCCTGGCACTTGTTGCCTCTGGCACTGACAATTTGAGAGTTCACACTACTTTATAAATATTTATTTTTCTACAAATAGCAGACCCACTACTTTTTTCTGCCCTCTGCTCTCACTACCCATCCTCCAAAGTCCTTGCTTTGAATAACTTGATCCATATAGATAAAAGAATTAAAACCACATATATAAATAGAAAATCATAGCTTAGGAATTTTACTATCTCTTTTTCTCCTTCCTAGCATTTTCCTGTAAATTCGGGGTCTGTTTATCAGATCACCCAATTGTGACAGGTATTGAATGAGCTCAACATCATAAGCAGAGAGAGAATCACTGGTCCAAAGTCACCCAGCTGGCTTTCATGCCTAAGGCAGAACTAGAACTCACAGTATCCTGATTTCTAGCCTGGTACCTTAACCACTAGGCCAAACTGGCTGTCTGAATGTTACTATCCTAATATGGATGGCAAATTACTACCAAACTCACTTGGAATTATAGCTGGTCAAAAACCTGTTGGGCAGATTTGGATCATAGGCAGGTGTCGCATAATTAAGGTTGTTGGTGCTGAATCCTGTTGGCTCCTGTATGGAGATAGCCATGAAAGTAGAACTAAGGGCTTGATACCTCAAGAAAAGAACAAGTCTGTGATTATGAAAAAAGTTTTTAAGATTCCCAGATAACCCCCGAATTATACATCTGACATACTTTGTTGCCCGTATATTCCCGTCCTAGAAGATTGGTTTGTGTTTGAGGCTGTCGCTGATGGCCTTGGAACTGAGAATGGCTGAGTGGCCCAGATGCTTCTGCATTGGGTGGAGGTCCCTGGGAAAAATGAAGACCATAACAAGCAAAGGAGTTTAAAGTAGTTGGTGAATTATAGAGAAGTAAGTAACAAAGAAAATAGGGATCAAGATGGGAAATGTAATGGAAAATGGGCAAATAAATGGCTAAGAAAGTGTAAGGAGTTTGGGAAGCCCGTAGATAACTGAAAAAGGAAGAAGTGGAGAAAAGAAAGGGAGATCTGTTTGTAGATGCTGATAAGGAAAGTCAACTAGAGAAAAGTGTAGAAAAACAGTCAAAAAAGGGAAATGAAAGCAGAGAAATAGCAGGTAGAGGAACTACAAGCATAAGGATAATTCGGAAGTAGCTGTTAAAAATTTTGGACACATTTGAACAAAAGTTCAGAGCAGGGGAAAATGAAATGGGAAAAGACCGTTCTGTCAACAAGGAGCTGTCACTTACTGAAGAACTAAGGCGAAGATCCTTCTGCCGATTAAATCCAGAGCCCCGCTCAGAACCTTTGGAAAGGACTGGTAGAAACTCATCCCCCTTTCAGGAAGAATAAATAAATAAAGACGCATGGATAGCTACAGTATACACATACAGGGGTAGATATTGGAGAATAAAAATGGAAATAATATTTGTTCATCCAGCCCCATCCACACCAGCAGATGGACTCCTTACATGCGGAACAGAAGATGGTAGATAATCTGCTTTCATGATGCTGATTCCAGGATTGCTGTCCTAACAAAGCAAAACAAATGAAAAGTACTACTTAGACCTAGAGAGAGAGAAACAGATTGGATATAACGGTTATTTTATTATAGCTTTTACTATGTTGAAAAATAGCAAGAAAGAGCCAGGTTAACAGGAGACCTATCTGATTATCTGAACTAATACTCGTGGTATCTGGATCAGTTATGGCAGGGCATAAGAAGTCATTATTATTACTACCTTATTATTATGGCAGGGCATAAGCAGTAATTATAACAAAAGCATTTAGTTTATTTAAGTTTCCAGCAGATATACCCTTTTTCATAGTACTCCTTTCCATTAGGTTGTTTCCCCCACCCAGGATTTCAAGCCAAACAAGCATGCTCAGATTTCATTGATCTTAGCTGGGACCTTTCCTTTTTTCTTTTCTTTTTTCTTATAAAGGGTTTTTGTGTGTCTTCAAATCTAGGGGTTCCCTCAAGCTTCTCTTCTACAAAGAAGATACTCTTTTAGCCACATATGAATAAAGAAAATGAGTTTGCTATTTGTATGGGGAACCTTAGGCAAAATAATATTCTGGAACCTTCAGTCTGGGAATTTGTGTCCTGATTTGTTGCGATTTATACCCTTGAAAAGGACCGTGCTGGGAAAAATAGCTCCTGAAAGATATAACAAGCCAGAAAGTATCAAATTATTAGAATGCTACCTTACCCTCAAGCTTTGGCTCCTGTATGCTATCTTAGCATACCTTGGACCTATTACTGGCAAGTGGGCATATTTCTAAAATAATCCATGGCTACAGCCATCCAATTTTCATAGAAGAAATATAGGAAAGATATATATTTGGGGGAAACCAAGGGACCTGGCAAAAAATTTTTGCTTAATGAAAATATTTGAAATTTATTTGTAATAAAAAGTCCAGTGCTAGCAGATAACATTGGAGTGCCATAGTACAATGGAAACAAGAGCATTTATAGAAAGTTATCAGAAAAGCAAAACATAATTCTACAGGGATTCTGGAAATTTTCTAATAATGAGGAACAAACATTGTGATTATGAGTCAAGCAAGCTGGGTGTTATTTACATTTTCAGAATTGTAGTGCATTTTCTTTTAAGAAGAGGTGGCTACATTGCCTAACATGAGTCCCGTAAGGGAGATAGGGCGGTATATAAATTTAAATAATAAATAAATAATAAATAATAATAACATCCTAATCTTTTAATAATATCGATTTTTTTAAAAATTGTGGATTGTTTTTAATATTGTTCATTTTACGGCTTGTTTGTTGTCCCAAAGATGCTTGTTCGGGAGGCAACTGGACTTTCTCGTTTTTCTTTGAAGACGTTTTGCTTCTTATCCAAGAACAGCTCTGACTAGATGGTGGAGGATGGAAGGATTTATACTCCTTGCAGACAGCTGGTCATTTGTGTTCTTTCAGAGAGTTGTTGAAGCCATTTGGAGGTTTACCTGTGTCCTCAGGATCACCTGAGTAGTGCAAATGGGTGTGGAGCCTTCTTGACTACAGGATGTTTTCTGCCCTGTGACCCTTCACCGTTGAAGACAGGCGCAGCCTGTTGGGGATGTGTCTATGTTGTCTTCATCTCAAACTGAAGCACAAATGGTTCCTGTAGTTTGCAATGTTTTCTGGAAATCCGTTCATACTCCCTCACCATTCGAAGATGTTCATCCCAAAGGGCATAGCTAAATGTCTATGGAGATTCTCAGTCATTCAGGTCATGGTTATCCCAAAAGTGATTTTGGGACTTTCTTGTTTTTCTTTGAAGACGTTTCGCTTCTCATCCAAGAAGCTTTGTCAACTCTGACTATTTGTGCTTCAGTTTGAGATGCAGACAACATAGACTCATCCCCAATAGCCTGCGCCTGTCTTCAACAGTGAAGGGACACAGGGCAGAAAACATCCTGCAGCCAAGAAGGCTCCACACCCATTTGCACCACTCAGGTGACCCTGAGGACACAGGTAAACCGCCAAATGGCTTCAAGGACTCTCTAAAAGAATGCAAATGACCATCTGTCTGCAAGGAATATAAATCCTTCCATCCTCCACCATCTAGTCAGAGCTGAAGAAGCTTCTTGGATGAGAAGTGAAACTTCTTCAAAGAAAAACAAGGAAGTCCAGTTGCCTCCTGAAAAAGCACCTTTGGGACAACCATGACCTGGTTGACTGAGAATCTCCATAGCTTGTTTGTTGTTTGCTGCCCAGAGTCAAATTTGTTTGTTTCCTCGCTTGTTTATTGTTTGCTGCCTGAAGTCAGGTTTGTGAAATGGGCAGCTATGATAGGATGCATATACATAAAAACCCTGATTGAAGAGAAGACAAATTAGACTGCACTGTGCAGGGGAAGGCTTTAGCCCTCTTACCTTTGTCATGTTCCAGAACAAAGTCACCATACCACACATTTTGGCTTTTAGAGAGAAAGTTTCAAGGGAAGCCAATCAGGAACACAGCAAATTTGTCACAGTTCTAAGACTAAGAAAGTCTGCTTGCTTGCCTTCTTGCTGGTTTATGTATTATTTTGTAGATCAAACTGAACATGTGAATAATTGTTACAACCTTTCAGATTTATGCTTGTGGGCAATAGAATACCATATCATGGAATGCTACTAGTGAATAGTCTTAGCCCAAGGATTTAAATGAAGACATTCAGTACTTACCCTTGATTTAAACATGTCTCTCATTAAGAATGTTTCCCTTGCAGCTCACAATCCCTTTTGTACTACAAATCAAAGAATTGCTCTCAACCTTAGTTGGTTTTGCAAAACACTCTGATAATTCCATAAAATAAAATAATCCTATGCCTTACTTTTTTGTTTAATGGAGATTTTTCTTCTTTTTCATTTACTTTCATTCCCAATAGAGATAAAACAGTTGCTGCATGTTTCTAAAATGGTGGTATGCCTTGTAACTAATTATTCTTATGCTCGTGAAGGCAATATTCTTGAATTTGATATCTGAGTTCCATAAACAGATTTTTAAATTATTTTTAAATTAATTTGACAACTTATAACTTGAATTTATTCTTTTTTAGGTATTTGCTGAACTACTTGAAATGTACCCAGGTTATCCATTTTAAAAAAATATTATTATATCATATATATATATTGTTCAAGTTATTTTAGTATCCTTTTTTATATTCTTTCTATTTTCACCATTATCCATCTGTTGGGCTGAATAAAACCTTTACTGGAATGCGAGTTTCCTCCTTTTTTTTGTTTCACAAATTGTTCTGCTCCTATAGTAAACAGGAGTCCCTGCCTGGAGACGGTCAAAAAAGTTCAGATGGTGGCTACAACCATGCTATGCCCATTTTGATGTGCATTGTGATCTAAAAAGGTGAACGTTGATCACATGGTTGTGGCCATCATCTTGATTTTTTGACACACACCCCCTCCTTAGAGACAACACTGACAGAAAGGGAGCCCATGTATTGAGGGAGAGCAATTGTTGAAACCCAAGGAAAATTGGACAAGAGGAAGGGCACCAATTTGCCAGAGTCTGCTTTGCAGCGTCTTTAACATGATGCCTCATCTGCCCCTTGGGAAGAACAGCAGAAGAAACCAAAGTTATCGGAGGACCTGAGATGTTAGTTTCTCCACAATGGGGTTAGCCAGGCAGCCTTCAGTAAATCCTGACTCTTCTTTGGCTCCAATTGTTTTCTTTTGCAGGAAATCTATATGGAGAAAAAAAAATAAAGATGTCCATTGAGGGGGAAAGGAGCATATGAAGTAGATCACTTCGAAAAATATCTTGGGAAGCTGGACTGATTTGTTCAGTTCTCACAAATTAACACCAGTGAGTCATGCAAAACCTTGTGAGAGATTTAGCTTTAAATATTAAGTTTAAAAGGGCCTAATACTCATATAGTACTATCCTTTTCTGGATGCTTTTCCTTTTCAACTGCTATTCAGAGGTTTACTTTTTCTCTGATCCTAGAGCTGATGCCTAGCCAATTGTGATTAAAATTGCTTCATTTTCTATATAAACATAGCTGAAGCCATTATAATTTGCTATTTCCTCAAGCCCCTTTAATCTTACCCATCAGTGAAATCAAGAGAGGGAGGAGGGAGATGATACATTGTTCTTACCAAACCTTTGGAGGTTCCACCCGGCCCCCTTACTCAAACAACAAAGAGAGCCAATATGCCTTCATCGGTTGCTCTTTCTTCTATGATGTTCACTCACTATATGACAGATATTACATGCAAGCTTCATAGAAAAGAATGCTTTTTTAAAAAACTGCAAAATTCCATAGCAGAAATCTGGAGTATGCAGAAGTGTTCCTTGAAATAGCTGCATGGATTTTGCATTGGTGCTACCTGTTACGTGAAGTTATTTTTTTAGACAGTGCAGGGATTTGAGCATTTGTATGTGACATTCATCCAGTGAGAAACTATCCCAGGAAACGAAGACTTTTCAAAGTGCCTCACAGTTCTTGAGATGTTGTTTAAAAAATGTTGCTCAGTTTCTCTGATCTCCAGTTTTAAATTATGTAAGCAACTCTATCATTATTAAAAACGTATGGCTTAAATGCCAAAATCACCATGGGACTAGAAATAAAAACGATAAAAGACAACCTTCTCCAAACAAAACAGAAACAAAATAATTATTGAAATGTATATTTAATAATCTCAATTGTTACTTTCTAATGGTTGTGAAATTATTGTATTGGTAATGGAAAGCAACAGAATTGGCTGGTAGATTCTTATCTGACTCTCATTGATTGATTACGTGCCATCAAGTTGGTGTTGACTCTTAGTAACCTCATAGAGAGACCTTCTCCAGCATAATCTGTCCAAACCTATCCCTTCAAGTCTTCCAATAGCATACCAACTTCAATATTTCACCCATTGACCTTGCTACTGATTGTCTTCTTCCTTCCATTTTTCCCAGCCTTATGGGTTTTTCAAGGAAATTGGATTTTGGGGCCAAAAATAACATAATGGACCAAAATATTATAATTTGAATCTAGTCATTTGTGCTTCAAGTAAGAACTCTACACTGATTTCTTCTATGAATGATTTGTTTTTGTGGAAATCCATAAGATTCTGAAAAGTCTTCCCAAACTTCAAAAGCCTGAATAATTTTTCTGTACTATTTCTTCAAACTCCAACTTCCAAACAGTATCATGGAGAAACCATTGCCTGTTTGGTTATGATCTTTGTACATGCAGAATATCATGGCAAGTGAATTCCTTCTGAATTTGGAGACTTTTTGGAAGACCTTTCTTATATTTCTATGTCTGCTTCCATCTCTGATGTCTTCACAGATGTTATAATACTGCTTGTCTTTTCTAACATCTGAAATTCCGTGTTAAGATTCTTTCTGATATCTTTGCTCTCTTCTCTTATTACAAGATAAATATTTCTGCTGTATTATCTTCTGATTGAAGGTGTCTACTTCCAGTGCATTTCAAGTGCCTGATGCCTAAGATTCATTTCACCTTTCATTGTGTTAAGCTTTCCTATGTTCATGCTACTTATATTCCATGTTGCCACTATAATTTGGTCTTTACCGTTTTGGATTTTCCTTTTCTGCATGGTTGCATCAGCAAATAGACATCTCAAAAGCTTTAATTGAAGTACATCATAACTGAATGCCATCGGACTTGAGGGACCCAACATTGAGGACTCTTACCAATCACTTTCATCGTGTCTATTCATGGAATTATCTTGGCAAAATATAAGCATGCTAAAATGTAGGAGTGCCTTACCATTGCTGTTGTCATTAAAGTGATCATTGCCTCCAACATCTTATACCACTGTTGCCTAATAGAATCCTTTGTTTTAGTTGAGCAGCTCGGATGATCTTCACACCTTGGATGACCCTGCTAAAAGTACATACTCTTCTTCTATACTTCTGGTGTTCCTCATTCTTTCCTCTCAGTACTTCCCTGCATTACCATTTTAAGGCAGCAAAGAAGGATCTGGGAGGAGGGGGGGGGGGAAGATCCAACGTAAGCTGATGCAGAATAAGTCTGTGAAAGGCAATTCTAGAGGGCCAGATACACATGGTTTAGCTGTTCCGAATTAAGAATTAAATGTGACATATAGTGTTTTGTGGATCTATAGTATTTCAAAGTGACTCTATTAAATCAAATTATCCCACTGAAGCATCACGAGCTCTATTTCAAACTGTAATTTTACATTTTAATATATTGATTTAGGAATTTAATATTCAGAGAATGGGATATGAGTTTCAAAGGGGGAGATATACTGATATAAAAAACCACCATGGATAGTTTCAAATGTTGTGATAATCCAAGCCCCTCCCCCAAAAAACAAATTATGCTTTAATGCATAATAGTAGCATAAACGTAGCGACTATTATGTTCTATTATACGCATAGAAATTATACCTGGTTGCCCGGGAATGTTGAAATGGTACTTAGAGCCATATTCCGTGGACATGAACTGAGGTCCCTACAAATGCAACAGAGAAGAAGACCACGTTCTCTGGAATTAACCACTCTTCTCAAAGTCTCACTAAGCTATATCTCATCTGCTTTTCTCTTTGTGAGTAAACCAGTTATTCTTGCTGTACTTAGGTATCTCTAGTTCTCTTGCTCTTTTAAAAAACATTGCCCTTTCTCCTTAGCTGTCTTTCATGTCTGGATTTCATGTCTAATTCCTTTTCAATGCCAGCTGTTATTTTCTATAAATCGCTACTCAATGCTCACATTTTCTGTGATGTCTTTGACACAACCTCTCAGTCTAATTCTCAACTGTAATGAAGCCTAAGCACGTGTAGTTGAAATTGTCTTATTTTTATAGCTGCTGATAAGCTTCCAAGCCCAATTCAAAGTACTGGTTATCATTTATAAAGCCAGGGCTTACTCAGAATCTTTTCCTGTTTGAGCAGAGTAGCAAATACCTACCCCTGGCCAATCTCTTTTTATATTTAGGTATTGAGTACCCAGGTTTATCCAAATTGTTCTGACATTTGAGGCAAAAAATCCTATAAGTGCTTCTCCTCCAATATTACCACCTGCACCACATATCAAATCCCCGATCCCTTGCAGCCTTCTAATCAGTGGTGGGATTCAGCCAGTTCGCACCAGTATGGCAGAACCAGTAGCTAATTTTTTGTTGCCCAGGCCCAGAATGGACTTTCGGAAGCAGCATCCACACAGAGAACCATTGTTCACATATTTGAATCCTACCACTGCTTCTAATGGCATCTCACTCCAATTATTGGAGCCCACAGACTCACGTGTCTTGCATTTTCCACTTCAACGGAGCCTTTTCCAAATGAATTGTGGAGCACAGGGACATATCTGGGCTCCAGCCCTATCACAGCTTCAGGTCCCTGGTTCGCTGTGTCAAAATGGACCTTTTTGACCTGTAATATCAAATCCAGTTGGTCTCTGAGAAGAACAACAAGCTAAAACACAATGGGATGAAGGGAATGGAGATGCTGCTAAACCTGCTGTAGGGAAAGAGGAGAGAAGAAGGTCAAGGAGGACCATTCCAAGACATTTTGCTGAATGACAGAAAACACGGTGGCATCCAAAGTCCGCATTAAGACAACAGGGTCTGTTGGTGTGGGCTGATACCCCAAGTTAAATAAGTAAGTAAGTAAGTAAGTAAGTAAGTAAGTAAGTAAGTAAGTAAGTAAATAGGCATGATTCAAAAGCTGCTGAAGTTTTTTTGGCACCCGAGGCAGCAAACACACACTCTCTGTCAGAGAAACTCCAATACATTTAGATAACTGTTTGCTGCCTTTTATAGTATCCAAAATCAGTTGCCTGGAGCAAATGCTTTCCTCCATTGATAGGGCGAGTCTTGAAAGCAATCAGAAAGGGCAGAAATGCCAAGACAACATTTTCTATCTGTGACCCGCGTTTTATCTTATGGCCAGGTCTTGTTACCAGAAGACAAGAAAGCAGTGAAATAACAAATGTCATACCCCTCTGTCTCATTCTTTTTTTTCTATAAACTTTAAACAAAATAGTATGAATTGCAGCATATACCTTTTGAATAAACATTTTAATCTCTGTTGTAGTGAACATTTTGAAAAATAAAGCTATGGTATTTTTCTCAAAGCCCACAACTTAGAACGTAAACTGTATTTTGTGCAACAATGTAGTAAAGTAAGACCATAATTATGAAGCCTTTGCATTTGGCAAAACTAGACATCAATGCCACTGCCCTTTTCTTGTCTAGGTAGAATATAAGCAGTTGCGTATTCACAAGGGTAGCTGAGTTCTTATTAAAATTATGTTTGTGTGTTTTCAGGGCTCATATTAAGGCACAGACTTTCTCAAATAGCTCTCTTCTATCACAGCAGTTTCACTTGAAATGTTACCTATATTGACATGAACATACATACAGCAGCTCTCATTGGATCAAGTTCTAAATCTTGATGATGATTCCTTAATGCCTTAATATTATTTATTTTGAAAAGAAGGAATGTAGAATGAACTTTGGGAAGGGTCAGGATAATGCAGTCTCTTACTAACCAGCTAGCCAAGCTTTGTTTGGTAATGCATTCTGTGCACTCATCTCTTGGGTGGATAAGCAAGTAAACAAATAAATCTCCTCCCGTGTAAACAATTCTGTTTTCATAGCATCTCAATTTATGTCCAGATCTGAAAAAGTCAGAACAGTCTGAAACAATATCATCCTGGCTTTAAAAAAGAGTAAGCAAGTTTGCGGAAGATTTAATCTTATGAAAGTCTCCTGTGGCCACTTTCAACAATCAGTTGCTCTGCAGGTATATTGGATTTCCCCAGAATCCCATTCATGACTGTTGAACCATTTAAAGAACCACTCAGAAAACTGCAGAATTGTAGTTTTGGTAAATGAGTTTTCCAGATGTTATTTGATAATGCACATATGGGCACTGTTTCTCCACATGTATACAAAGACACACACATACACTCAAAGCTACACAAGTCTGAGATATTTTTTGAAATGTTGTCCCATTTATCTATTGTACACACAGTACATTAAAATTGAACTGAGTAATATATATAGGATTGTGCTATACATAGTCATTTGTGCTGGTCCATTTGCGACATCAGATTTTAACTCTCTTAGTCATCTTTGTTCATTCTGAATCCTGACACATTCTCACCTGATCTTATAAATTTAGCAATTTTGCTTCCACAGTCTTCACCTTGCATGGCAGTAGAATGCACTAGATCTTGTGACCATGCAGAGAGAAGCTCAATTATCCAAAGATTTCAGCATTGATCCACAACTGCAGTGCAGGGAACCCTAACAGAATAACCGAATTGGAAGGGACCATGGAGATATTCTAGTCCAATCCCCTGCTTAAGTAGGAAACCCTATACCAGTGATGGGGAACCTTTTAGAGACCGAGTGCCCAAACTGCAACCCAAAACCCACTTATGCATCGTCGGGTGCCAGGTGGGTGTGGCCCATTGGGTGGGTGTGGCCCATTGGGTGGGCGTGGCTGCGGTGGTAACGGCAGACTGGGTGGGACTAAAAAGTTCAATCAATCAATTCTAACTTTGCAAGATCTTTTTTTTCCCGCAAGAAGTTGAAATTGGCTGATTGATTGAACCTTTTTTTTTTTGCACACGGCGGCGGAGGCCTAAAGCGAAAAGGTTTTATAAAACCCAGCTGGGCCTAGGACTGGGGCGATGGCGCGCGTGCCCATAGAGAGGGCTCTGCGTGCCGCCTCTGGCACCTGTGCCATAGGTTCGCCACCACTGCCCTATACCATTTCAGACAAATGGTTGTCCAATCTCTTCTTTAAAACCTCCAGTGTTGGAGCACCCACAATTTCCGGAGGCAAGTCGTTCCACCAATTAATTGTTCTAATTGTCAGAAAACCTCTCCTTAATTCTAGCCTGGTTCTCTCCTTGATTAGTTTCCATCCATTGCTTCTTGCCCTGCCTTCAGGTGCCCTTGGAGAATAGGTTGATCCCCTCTTCTTTGTGGCAGCCCCTCAAATATTGGTACACTGCTATCATGTCGTCCCTAATCCTTCTTTTCATTAAATTAGACATACCCAATTAATGATACTAACCTAAGTCAGTATCAGTGGATACTGTTACTGCTATTCTCAGGAAAACATACACCCACAAGAGAAAGCCAGAATGTAAAGTTAGGCTACTTACTGTTTTGGTTGTGGGAAAAGTTAGAGGCTTTTCTCGAACATACCCACTGCCTGGCTGATGTACACTCCAGGGAAGAGGATACTTCCCATCTGGGAGCTGAAGGGGCTGGAAATGTTTATTGGTTGTTGATTCGTAGTTATCCTGGAGGAGTTTCCTGGTTTAGGGAAGATAACATACATGTATTCAGCTCAAGAACACGTCTGCTTTCCAGCCCAAAAGCATTTTATGAATTTTGCTCATGTCCCAGATTTGGAGAAGACTCCTAAAGATATCATGGATTGTCAAACAATACAAGCAAACAAACCAGAGCTCTTATCAATATGGCAACATTAGCCACATATTTAGTGCCAACATTTAATGTATGAGACTGATTGTACTCACACAGTTTGTAATTAGTGACAAATGCAGTGGTTGACTTTATCATGGCTTTGCCTGAGCATTCCAGCACAAGTCAGTATACCAAGGCCTTAAGTACTTTATTGTAGAAATACTGTTAGTTGTACAGTTCTGGATTCTGAATCCCATTGACTCAGAACCAATCTACCAAATGGGAGAATCCAGACTTTCTTCACCTAAAGCCCTCTGGTTTCATATTATCCACTTTAATGATGTCCTCTTGAGACAGATCATTGATTTTATAACCTCAAAATTGATGTCCAGATGCAAATAGTCTGTATTAGATCACTGAACAGTTTAAGGGTTTTTCCTATGTTCACCACACATTACCAGATTCACTTTTTGAGAACCTGGAGTGATCTGTTTTGCCAATCTAGTAAGATTCACATGCAGCATGTTGTTTTGAATTAGAGTTATCAAATACCTCCTGATCAGGTATCTGTACTCAGATTGCCTCTGTTTTTAAGAGTACCTATCTAGTCTTACTAGTCTTGGTAATTTAATATGAAATTCCCAAAGCAGGGTAAACATAGCTGCTTGTGCCTTTTTAACAAATGATGCACTCTACAGAAATAATAGTTGTTAATTATTATGATTCTCCAGAAGTGAGCAGAAAATTATTTTGGAGAATTTCTGAAGCAGGATTGCAAAAGCAGATTGGTTTGAGCACTATTAGAGGCAAGCTAGGGAAGCCATCTGTCTGATTTTGGGTTTTACCAATTAGATAGACTTGATGTTATCGAAATGGTTAGTTTATATTATTTTGTAAAAGTAAAGAGTTGAGCTTTGATGTTGATATTCTACTTTACTGCACCAAAGGAAGTCGGAAGTCCGTGCCTCTCTCTCTCTCTCTCTCTCTCTCTCTCTCTCTCTCTCTCTCTCTCTCTCTCTCTCTCTCTCTCTCTCTCTCACCTCACTTCTCTACTCCCTTTCCCCTTCCCTATCTTTTCCGCTATTTACTTTAGTACTTTCATTGTATCGTATATTATAAACTAATAAAACTTTTGGCAAAAAAATAAAAAGAAGCAGGTGATTAAGTCTACCTAAGCAGCACCAAAGCTGTCCACTTTGGACACCGTGATTTCAAATGTTGATGCTGCTGATGCTGAACAGTGTGGTTGTGTCACATTTTTTTATAGCTGGAAAAAAAAAATCCAGTTGAGAGTCCAAGACAAATACTAACCAGAAAAACTGAATCCTGTAATGCACTGTCATAGTATAATTTCTAGTGGTGTGGATTATGTTGTACAAAATGTTAGCCAATGGTTACATTTGTAGATATGTGCTGCAGAAGCTATGTTGCTCTTTTTGCCAAAAATAGGAGGCTACACAGTGCCATTTGCTTTGGTGGAGCATTTCACATTACTTCATTTCTCCCTGTCTCTCACCTATTGCTTGCCAAATCAAGAGAGACTGGGCAATCACCACAGAGGAAGAAGCTCTCTGGAGTCTAACAAGGAAAAACTAGAGAAGACAGTGCTGTTTTTTGCCAAAGCTTCTGGAAAACAATGGGGGAGGGAAGAAGGAATGATCTTGTAGGATAGGAGGAAGATCCGCTACCAAGGCAATAGTCAACTAAAATAGGCTGAACCTGGCCAAGAAAGAAACGTCTCAGACATTTCCCTACTTCACACAAATATAAAGGGAGGGAAGAGAGAAGCACATTCAGACTTGCATTATTCTGTGCATTTTATTATAGATTATTATAGGTAGCTTTACAATACAAGTAGTATCAATCTACCTGGGATTGGTTTTGTCATCTAATCTATTTGGAAGGGCTAACATTATCCAGAGGAAGCAAGGAGGGTGTCTTCTGTAGTACTCACCAAAACCTTTGGCAAGCATTGCCAGAGGAGGCAAGCATCTGCCTTACTTGCCAGGTCTGGAGAATGAGCAATATCTTTCCCAATAGCTCTTGTCAAAGCTCGGTGAGTGTTGGCAGAGAGTGTTGCACAGGAGAGCAAATCAAAGCCAGGTGATCACTTAACTTGGCTCTTAATAGTTATCCAAGTCAAGCACCCCCTAGAAGATTTGCATAGCCCTATAATATTACGACCACTCTGTCTGCAAAGAGGAAGTGATGGAGGATGAGCACACTGAGTTTATGGATGTTCTCTGGTCACAGACTTTGTAGCTGCACTTTCTGGCAACATTAGAGAGACTTTAGGAAAAAGAACCATGCTGTTAAGGAGTAAGAATTATGGGAGTGCTAGACAATGTGTCATTGTTTCAGAGATATTTCCTTGCCTAAACAGAGGAATAGAATGAAGGAAAACAAAAAAAGCAGTAGAAGCAGAAGTGACTTCCAACTTCCTGCCAGTTTTTCCATTGAATTTTTCTTGTGGGAATCTGGCGGGGAGCATTGGAAATTTTCCTTCCTTTTCTTCCCTCCCCTTCCCTTTCCAGCAGGCAGGTAAGTGGCTACTGCTGGGTGTGGGGGGTGAGAGAGGGATTAAGAGACTGGCTGGGAAACTGTCAGAAAACATTGAAAATGAAGATCCCATGAATGCAGCAGTTGTCAATAGCACCAAAGCAGCTGTAACTTTCCCAAATGTCATTTTCATGTATTTTGGACACATTCTGTAAGTTAGCCCATTTGAGGTACCTTGGTTCAAAAACTGCTGCCCTATGAGGCACCGTTTCAATCAGTTAAAAGTCATGACAACAAAAGTCTTAGTGATGAGGGGAGAGAGAGAGAGAGAGAGAGAGAGAGAGAGAGAGAGAGAGAGAGAGAGAGAGAGAGAGAGAGAGAGAGAGAGAGTATGTACTCATAGAGAGGGTGGCTGAAACATCCCAGTTACTCTATCTCAGCCTGAAACATTGTACAGGCCTGAAAAAGGAGATACTGACCCCACAGCTGGATTATCTAATTTATCTAGGTTTGGATTGTATTGAACAACAGGCCGGTAGTTGCTTTTATATCCTGCTCCAAAATGGAAGCCATTCCGAGGACGAAAGCCTTCCTGACCTGGGGGAAAAAAAGTTTGTCATTATTTTCCTTATTACACTGCCAGCCCGAATCACCTTTCCATCAAGGCACTGTAATAAATTATAATACAAAACAGCAGCTTAACAAGATTTCTAAATGTTGAAAACATGTTCTGATATCTTCTCAAATGGCTATCACAAGGAGGTTTGATTGCTTCCTCACAAAATGGCAGTCGTTGAGAGTGACCATTTTATTTGGTGAATTTGCCCTCTGCCAACCAGGACTCCAGCTTACTACTATCTTTGGGGGCACGTCTGCAAATTACATGGGGGGGAACTATGTTTGAGGTCCAGAAGTTTTTGAAATAAAAGATATTGCAGGTTACTACTTTGCTTTCTGAAGGGAAAAGGAAGAAGGGGAGAAGGAGGGGAGGAGGAAGGGGAAGGGAGAGAGAAGGGGGAAGGAAAGGAAATCCCACCATTATCATTTAATTAAAACAAAAACACCAGGAAAGAGACAAGAAAATAAATAGTAATAAGCTATTTTAAATACAAACTTTTACACATTATTATATGAAATATAAATTTATATAACACAGAATGATTGATGCATATAATATAATGTGGCAAATTTATATAAGATTTATTACATTCATATAGATATACTGTAGTTTTGATTATATTACTTAGTGTTGGTATTTTTTCCATTTCTTCCCAATTTCAAGCACGGCAGTGTATGGATGTACAGTAGAAAAAGGAGAGTAGCTTATAACAGAAAGGTATACTTAGCTGTTAATTCTGTGTATTTCTTGATATAATTCCCAAACATATTGTTGACATTTTTTAGAACAAATCCTAAAGAATCTCAAATTTGTCCTTTCCTCTCTGCTCATGTGCCATAGTTACTAACTTGTAGCTTTTCATCTGGACAGATAAATTATATATTGGACGTTCTTGCAATCCAAAGTAAAAAAGCAAGGTTCAAATTCTAGTTGTTAGATTAACTGAGGAGAATAAATTCTTTTCTATATTGGTTAAAGTCTTACCATAAGCTGCCCCATAGCTGGTGCAATAGAATTTCATGGGGTCCATACTTCCACCGGAGCTTGTTTTTACATAGGGAGAAACTGAACCTAAGGGGAGACGTCCCATCTTCTCTGTGGATACAGAAAAAGTTTTTGTGATACAAGATTTTCCTGGGGAAACAGTTATCATAGAAGACTGGCCACTGATCATTGTGGAGAAGAATTAGAAAGCTTCTGAGTACCAAAAGGAAAAATCAGTTTGGCTTTGAAAGGTATTTATTTAGACTGTTTAGAATCAGATCTCCTAGAAACAGAGTGAGCTCACACACAGCTCTGTGACATCATAGAATCTTAAGATTTTTTTAAAAAAATAATAAAACTGAAGTGGATTGTAATTGGGATAATACAACAAAATGTCCGTAGCGCTCAGGTTTGACACTATGTAGCACAGTATTCATTTTATTTGACTAGTCAACATCATTTCTATGTCTCCTCAATTGTATGGATGGATGGCTTGCAATAATTTCAGCATTTAAAGCCATAAACACATAACAGAAATAACAGAATACAATTAATAAATTTCAATAGCAACTTTCAGTAGGTAAGATACTGAAGCTTTGCAGAAGATATTCATTTAAGGTTTCTTCTTAAATGTCTACCCCCTCTCTTTATTTACTTCAAGGGAGACATTATTCCACAGGCCTGAGGCAGTAACAGAAAAGGCATATTTTTCTGGTCTCCACCTCTAGCTTCATGAGGAATAGAAACCCACAGCATTTCTTGCTATTTCAATCACAAAGGAAGGGTAGATCCAAACTAGAACAAATTATTCCTCAGTAGCCAAGACCCAAATCATAAAAGGATTTAAACTGGCACCTGGAAATGTAACCAGAAACCTAAGGGTAGCCAGTACAATGTTCAGAGGAAATGTGTTGTCAGCCACATTGAATAGCTGAAATATTTGAATGTCCCTCAAATACAGCACCAAGTAGAGTGTGTATTGTAGTAGTCCAAGTATGCTGTAATGAGAGCATGAATAGATGTAGCCAGCACACTAGCTGAAATTAGGTAAGGGTTTCTTGGCCATAGTTTTCACTAGCTGTTCCAGCAGGAGCTCAGAGTCCAAATGAATTGCCAAATGATATACCTACTCCATGAGGGGGAACACAACCCCATCCATTCTAGAAAATAAAATCCCTGAGTTTTATCTGTTCACACCAAGATAGAGAGATATGGCTGAGTATTTTCAGCGTAGTGATGGTATTTTACTTCAGGTCAGCAGGTAATATCTCCTCATGATTTCAAATAGATGTTAAATAAGATAGTGAAAAAAGCTACGTCCCAAACACACCATGTAATAGGCAAAACTTTGATCTTTCTTCTCCCTCAATACTGAGTAAAACCATCTGCTTTAGGAAGGAGCAGTGTAAAAGATGTACTTCCAATCTCCAACTCTCACCCAGGAAGATACTATGGCTCCTGTGAGACTCCTGTGAATCTAACAGGATCAAAAGGGCTGCACTCTTTCCCCAGATCCTGTTGCAAGACATCCTTAAGAGCTATTAATAGAGTTTATATCCAGGTTTGAACCTAGTATTCAGAGAATCCACTTCTTCCATGATATTCTGCAAATGAACCCACAATACTTACTCTAAAGTCTTCTCCCCAAAAGGGAGGATGAAATGGGGTAGACATTGTCCAGATTTCCTGAATTTAGAGGTGTCCCATTCAGGAAGAGACATAATGCTTTATTCAGTGCAGAGAGCACTATCTACTCCCTTACAGAGGCATTCATGACTTCCCTAATCCAGCTTCCAGTCCTCTTATTAACAAGAAATGGCAAGGTTCCAACCGCTACATGACATAAATTTGTGCTATCAAGAATCTTGTCTATTTCCTTGGAGTCCATAGCATCAAATGTATCCCAGATAATCCAGTAGAATTTAGTTCCATTCTCCTTTTAAGGCTCTCCATATGTATCATCAAGCACCCAGATCTTATTTTAAAAAGTACAGGTAGTTCTCAACTTATGACTACAATTGAGCCCAAAATTTATGTCACTAAGTGAGAAATTTGTTTTAAGTGAGTTTTCTCCCATTTTATGACTTTTTTGTCACATTTGTTAAGTGAATCACTGCAGTTGTTAAATTAGTAACACGGTTGTTAAGTGAATATGGCTTCCCCATTGTCTTTGCTTGTCAGAAGGTTGCAAAAGGGGATCACATGACCCAGGGACACTGCAACCATCATAAATGTGTCAGTTTTCAAGCATCCAAATGTAAATCACATGACAATGGGGATGTTACAATGGTCATAAGTGTGAAAAATGATCGTAAGTCATTTTTTTCAGTGCCACTGTAACTTTGAACAGTCACTATGTGAACTGTTGTAAATCAAGAACTAGCTTACTCAAAAGCTAGTTCTCAGGCTGTTGGTTCATTTGAATGATGTGGTTTTCAAGGGAATTATTGTTGTTGTGCGGATATACCAAGGCTTTTATACTGTTTCATCTTTTGATCATTATTTTCTTTGCTTTGCTTTTAATATAGTTACTTTGAATTGGGTGGTCTTACAAATCTAATTTATTTACTTATTATCAAGTTCTGACTGAATAAGATTTAGTCTTCCAAATGCTTTGCACAAGGACCGCAATGACTGAAGCAAGTAGTCTTGTTTGCCAGTCCCCAAAAGGACATGGGTCACCCTTAACAGAGTTGTTGGACAGCAATCTGAAGATACAGTAGTTGCCATCCTAATGCAAGATTCCAGTATGTCTGGTCAGTTCATTTCATTTTTTACCACTATCACACCAATGGTGGGATTCAAATATGTGAACAACCGGTTCTCTGTGTGGATGCCGCTTCCAGAAGTCCATTTTGGGCCTGGGCAACAAAAAATTACCGGTAGCTACCGGTTCTGCCGAAGTGGTGCGAACTGGCTGAATCCTACCACTGTATCACACTAAATGTCTCTTCTGCTGTTTCATCTCCTGAAGCTTTTTGGTAAATCCAGGAGTATATTACTGAAACCTTTTTATTGTTAATGCAATTACTGGGGTGAACCCAGCTGAAATAAAGAGCTTTATAAAGGCAAGTCTGTTTATATTTTACTGAGCTTTGGAGAAATAAAATGCAAGAGCCCAGAATTTATAGCTGCCAATTGATAAGTATATATATTATTCCTTGTTCATCTGAAGTGTTATTTATGTGGCAACTAGTTAGGCAGTAGTTAATTGATGCTAACATAACACAATCATTTTTTGTCATTTTATAGAATAACTCTTTGAAGCAGATATGTTGAAATTATTTCAAGTACTGAAAATGTTAGATAATATTGCTTCAAATATTCTTACAGCTAGCTCTTAATTAGTGCTGTATAACAAATCCTATGAAATTTTATTCAAAGTTGCACTATTCAAAGTGAGATTTCTGTGGAAAATTGGTTTCAATTCAATGGAAATAAGCAACAACTTTTAAACATAAATGTTTATATATATATATCAATTATTAAAGAAAAAATATTTATAATTTAAATTTATAATAAACCAAGTCACAGAGTAGTTTTAGAAAGCAGAATAAAAACAAAAAACTTCTAAATTTCATTCCCAAAGGTAAGCTTACACTGACAAATTTTACTTTTATTTTACTTTTATTTCCCCTGCATTTTTATAATAGTATGCCCTACAGACTCAGGCATTCCAACAAGTTCCAAGTTCATGTTGTTCAATTACATCAAATTTTTTTGCTCTAATGTAATAACAAGCCTCTTCTTTTTTGAACCTATACTCAAACTTGTACTGTTGAGCTTGATTCCTCCAAAAGAATCATCCTTTTCTCCATTGTGCACATACAAACATTAGCAACATCTAAAACTTCAACCACAGAACTTTCCAGTGTCAAAATGTCTGATATACTGATAATAGACATATGTACTTACTCTTCTGGGAACTCACCAACTGAAATATGTAGGCATTCTCTAATGTATATATATATAGCTATAGGACAAGACCTAAATCAAGTTTTAAGTAACATAGCCACTTCTAAACAGATGCTCTGTTTAAACATGTGTAAGCACTGATATTTTCAAATGCACTGTTAAATCCTTCAATAAATTACTTTGAATGTATAGTCCAGTACTCAAAGCTCAGTAACAAAGTATACATTTTAAATAAAAGTTTAGTCTCTACAATACTATCCTTAAAAGGAATCAAATAGTATGGTTAGCAAGTCTATGATAAAGTAGTTATCACCAGTCTGAACAGAATGTGGTTCATATAGCAAATGGGAGAAGGCAAACTACATACAATGAGGCAAAATGCTCCTCTATCCTGAAAACTTGTTTTATGAAGCATTGTCAAGATTCATCTTGCAATATCATGTCCTTACCTGCCAAAGTATTGATTGGTTTACTGCAATGAGCAGAATCCTTGTAGTGTCCCAGAGGACTAAATTATTCCCTTAAGTTAAGAACTTGGAGGAATATGTAGAACTGAAGTAACAGTATGTATCCTAGCAACTAGCTCATAGCAACCAGATCAAGAAAACTTGTCCACAAGACAGCCACATTTATAGAATCCAATAGAAAAGCCAGTGGAATCAGTTTAGTGGCTTTTTAACATGGCAGACACATTACAGATTATTATCAGATGTGGAGTAGATGTTCAAAGTTAACCTTCAGAGTAATGGTAAATGGGATGGGACTTTTCTTAGCAATGCTCTAATTGTGAGCTTCAACCCAGTGACGGACTAGATTCACAGAAACAGTGAATTTGATAGTAATAATGCTATTCCATTTGTGAGATTTGAAGCAATACTGACTGCATAAAATGGATTTATGTACATGCTTTCTACAAGTCTGCAAGTAAGTATCAGCAAATTCCAAGTGCAAATTTTGGTATCATAATCATAGCTGTTTGAGAATGTAAAACTATCGTCATAGATCTGTATATTAGTTGACCTTAATAAGAATCTATGGAATCTGGATCAAATTCCTAAGCAATCCTAAGATACAAAGCTACATAATGTATTTGATCAAACCTGTATCTAAAATCTTCATTTTCATCAGCATCGAGAGTAGCACTTATAGGCATATAATGACACCCTGTGGTAGTTCCAGGCAACACCATAGGGATATTGTGATATCAAAAAGATGTACATACAATAAAGAAATTTTTTTTTGAGCCTGTATGTTTAAAAGCGGGAAATTCTAGGG